CACTCCCACTGCCCTCTCTCAAGGAAACCCTGGCAACCAAAACCAACTGTGGACCAATAATATCAACCAAGGTTCCGCAGTGACAACTGCCCAGTTTAATTGCTTTGCTCTCTCCATTCCCCTTCCCCTTCAGATGGAGCATGGCAGTGTTAATCTCCTCTCAGATGCTTCCTTATACACACATGTAATTCCCTTGAATGAACACTTTACCTTTTCCTGTGGCCCCAGATTTTGCAGTAAACTGAGGAAAATTGCTTTATCCTCATTTATCCTCCTTCCTCCCCCCCACAAAGATTCTCATCATGATCATAAGCCCAAGTAGTGTGGTAATCGACTTATTTAAAGAGAAAGAAAACTGGGCCCTCCCTGGTGGTGCAAAAGGTTAAAAGCACAGCACTACGAAACTATTGCAGCCACTGCAGCACAAGTTCAGTCCCTGCCCCGGAGCTGACCCACATGGCCCAACAGACCTCTCCTGACTTGCCCACTGCTCCCCTCAGTAGTGTATTTCAGTACATCTGCCTGATCTGCTCCCCAATCTGTCTCTGGTGAATCCTCTCACCACCCCCCCCCACCTCTGACCTGTACCCCAGTTCTGTATGCATAAATAAATACATCTTAAAAAAAAAAAGAAAACAGTTCAAGTTGAAAAGCAGATAGCACAAAGGTCAGATGACAATGTAAAGACAGACCCAAGGCAGGGCACAGCTGCAAGGGTGTTGCTCACCATTGATGCTCTTGAGTCTGCACAGGCGGAGACATATTACTGCTATTGAAGTATAGATGGGAGTGTCATAAAGAGAGAGGAGCTTGAGCTGACCCTAAAGGACTTGAAGTGGGGGTTGGGGAGGAGAGGATAATATGGCTCCCAGATTGTCATAGTAATCCAGGGAATGGAGAGGTCAGAGGCAGAGGCCAGGCTCATTTCTCTGCTGGAGAGTTTGTGTTGTGGGCAGTGGGTAAAAAGCCTGGCAGTATAATCTGGGCCTGAATGGTATACTTAGACTATATGGTACTTTACAGATGGCAGTGATATGATGAATACTGATGACTGGGATTGAGGATGTGACATAAACTATATAATTTATGCAATTATATAAAATGGAAATTTTAAACAAATTTGTTAAAGTTCAGTACAATAGTATTTCACAACTGTCCTATAGGTACTCTTATTCCAGACTACTCAGCAAAAAGAAGAGGAAATAACTTGTGGAGAGCTGAACTGAAGTCATCAGCTATGACCTTGGACTTCTCACTTACCTGTCCAGAATTGAAACATTTAAATATTTTCATAAGAACATGTGTTTATGGACACAACAGTATAATTGATAGAAACGTGGAATCACTGCAGTTACCTACATGATGTGATAGTGGCAGCATCTTAGGGAAGGGTGAGTAGCTAGGGCAAAGGAGGGGTGACACAAGCTATGCAGCCTCAATCTGTTCCAGGGCACCCCAATGTGAATTGGGTGGGTTTTCACCCACGCACTTACGATTCAATCGTATTATGGACACACTCAAAAAGGTTAAATAATGGATTTATTTATAAGGAGAAAGGTAAAGGAATAACCCAGGGAAAAAGGGAGAGAAATACAAGTTAACTAAAATTGTAACAGGGTGGTCCCTAGGAAAAGGGGAAGTTCCAGGTTCCCTGCCCCACCCAGAAGGAGGGTGGAGCTGAGCAGAGAAAAAGGAGAGCAGAGAAGGAATCAGGAGAGATGAAGAGAAGGAAGCTGGATGGAGAAGAAGGAGACCTGAGGAAGCCACATGGAGCAGCAAGCATGTGAGGAAGAAACCGGGCTTGTCTCCTGACCCTGCACTGGTTAAGGCAGATGTGGGTGAGAGACCTGTAGGGAGGTGACTATGGCAGTGTTTATATTGATTTTGATTTTGCTCTTTTCCTCACAGATTTGTCTGGCCATTTCTGACCTTTTCGATGGGTCCTGGCCAGAAGGTGCTTTAGTCTTGTGGCAGCTTTCAGGCCTTGCTTTGGACCAAGGGTTGACTTTTGGGTTGACGAGGGGATGGGTAACTTCAGGTGTTTGATTTAGAAGTCATTCTTTGTGTTCTGTATTGTATATTTACTGTATTAAAGTCCCTTTTCATTAAAATTTTATATGTTTTGTCTTGTTGCGGTGGATGGCAGAACCCACTTAGAGCAGGCAGGTTTGGGGCTTCAGGGGTGTGCCTCTCCCCCTGTCTTGTAACAGACTGATTTTAAGAATAATGTTATAATCTCAGCTAATGGTCAATATGACTCCAAACTGTTAGAAAAAAAGATGATCATGATCTCAGCCCAATTCATACATTAAGTTCATCCCACTGCTTGCTTGAAATCTATAAAATAAACCTCTGCTGAGCCCAGAGCAGGAAGACTTGCACCCAACTCAGATTCCCATGTCTTCCTCGCGCCCACTCCCCTTTTCCCCCTTTTCTAGGAATCGCTCCCACCTTAACACCCTGCCTGTTCTGCCCCCCAATAATCCATGATCGGTGACAAAGAGTCCCCGACAGAGGGGACTGGGGTGACTAGACATGACTAGCTTTGGCTATGTGGATTCGTGGAGGGTATCCACATATCTCACCCTCATGACCCAAGAATATTAGTCTGGTAAAGTGTGGACATCAGGAAATAATGTGGCACACTGGTATACTCCCATCTCTTTTGCATAGAGTCTTTACTACTGTTGCCTACATTTTTGTATATTTTTTAGTGACATGGTTGACAGTATGGTTTCTGATCTGAGATCAAATCTTTCAATACTTTTTAATTTATAAAGATATTAGAAGAGCTTAAGAAAAATAATGCCCTGGGGATAAAGTAAACTTTTCTGTGGGGATTTAGTTCTAATATTATTCAGTTCTAATATTGATTATGTTTCATTAAATTTCTAACTCAAAAATCTACAAATGGGCCCTCCCTGGTGGCGCAGCGGGTTAAAGCACTGCACTGAGAAACTAAAGCCACTTCCGCATGAGTTCAAATCCCGCCTGCCCCGGAGGAGGCCATGGGAGGAGACCACATGGCGAGGCAGACCTCTCCTGACCTGCCCGCTGCTCCCCTCAGCAGTGTACTTCGTCGATCTGCCTGTTCTGCTCCCAGCTCTGTCTCTGGTGAAGCCTCTCACCGCCCCTGAGCCTCTGGCCTGTACCCCAGCTCTGTATGTACAAATAAATAAATCTTTTTTTTTTTTTAAAGATTTATTTGTTTATTCATACAGAACTGGGGTACAGGCCAGAGATGCGGAGGGTGAGAGGATTCACCAGAGACAGAGTGGGGCACAGAACAGGCAGATGGCCGAAGTACACTGCTGAGGGGAGCAGCGGGCGGGTCAGGAGAGGTCTGCCTCGCCATGTGGTCACCTCCGGGGCAGGCGGGGATCGAACTCATGCGGAAGTGGCTTTAGTTTCTCAGTGCAGTGCTTTAACCCACTGCGCCACCAGGGAGGGCCATAAATAAATCTTTAAAAAAAAAAAATCTACAAATGATCCGGTCACTTCTTGACTTTTAAAATCTAAAACTAGGGCCCTCCCTGGTAGCACAGCACTACAAGCTGGCCTCAGCCGCTTCAGTGTAAGTTCAATCCCTGGCTCCAGAGGTGACCTACCTGGCTCAGCAGACCTCTCCTGCTTGTCTGCTCCTCCCCTCAGAAGTGTATTTAATCAACCTGCCTGTTCTGCTCCTGATACAGTAAATGGGCTCTCAGATAAGCATTTGCAGATTTGCCTCCTTTAACAAATTTAAGATGGAACTTTTTTCCCCAGAGCTCTTAATTGACTGTGGGTTTACTTTTTTTTTCCTCTCCTTTCCTTGCAGTTTCTCTTCTCTTGACAGGTTTAGGGTCAAGGAAAGGGATCCCAAACAAAAGCAAATAGTGAGAAAGCTGGCCTGCACACTCCTCTTCCTCCCCCTGCCCCCTCCCCATTACTCTTGCTGATTCCCCATTTTTGTTTGTCTTTGTGTAAATAAAGGCTGGTGCCCACCTGTCTCCATCCCAGCACTAACTCTTACTCCCTCCCCTTTGCAGACTCTCTGCCCCCTCCCCTTTTTCTTTGTTGAACATTGTATAAATAGCCCCGTGACTTGCTATTTATACAATAGCAAGAGCAGAGCAGTGGTCTTTCGGACATGAGTCTGCTGTGCTCTTCATTTGTCGACAAATAAAACCATTCTCCTTCTCCTCAAACTGTTTCCTTTTCTTGGCTGAGGGAAACTGAGACCGGCGTTCAGTAACACTCCCCACTCTGTCTCTGGTGAATCCTCTCACCACCCCTGCACCTCTCTGTGGCCTGTACCCCAGTTCTGTTTGCATAAATAATAAATAAATCTTAAAAAAAATCTAAAAATATCCCACAATATATTGAAGCCAACACTTGCCAGTGGGACCTTTTATAATAGATTGAAAGATGATTTGCAAGTGTTGTATGATCCCACTTACAAATTTGCAAAACTGCTGCTCCTTTTGCCCCAGTCTGTGTTCCAACAGCTGGCTCCAGAGCTGAAGGATCAACATTTGCCTCGCCTCTGTAAGTCTCTTCCCCTCTTCACAGCATTAAAACTGAACAAAATCACGCAGGTGTAAGTGCTCCACACAAGCAGGTGTAAGTGCCCCGCACACTGTAAAGTTATACAGAAGTAGTTTTTGGCTTTTCCTGTTGTGTGATGACCTAGCCTGCCTCACCATTGTCGCCTTTCTCCACCATCAGCTCTTGCATTCGCCCCAATTCTGCCTCTTCGGTGTGTTTATCATGGTTAACTTTCCTGGTGACGATGAGGGCAGGGGACAGTGCCATCCCCTAGCCCCTTGGAATGGGACCCCAGTTTGGGATTAGTGCGGTCTCTTGGGTTTCCCGGACACCTCCCATCCGCACCTGGCCTGGGAACCCTCCTCCGAGCCCCACCTTTGCCCTCAGGCTCCACCTCCTCAGAGTGCACATTCCGTGGCGGGGCCGACTAGGGGGAGCCAATCTGCGATTGGCCGTGACCCAGCAACGCGGCGATGCGCAGTCAACAAGCCTCCCGGATCCCGCTGGGGTCACAGAGTAATCGAAGCCTTGGAACCTTCCGGGTCGAGCGCGGGGCACCCTTTCTTTGGGAAATCGTTGCTTTGTCCACCAGAGGAATGCTTTGCTGATCCTCTCTGGTCGGATGGCCCCGGGAGGACGGGAAGATGACTGCTGAACTGAGCTCGCCTGGTCCCTCTCCTGATAGACTGCCTAGTAAGTGTGGAATGCCATCCCTTCCAGCCACGCCTGTGAGATGCTGAGGCTCACAACAGGCTGCGTAGGGAAGTCTTGGAATTATACTGCGCTCCACTACTCCCTCCCCCCTCCATACTTGCAGATGCTAAATCAGGCGCGGAGAAGCTCATGGTTGGTTAGCACTCACTTACTGGCTGGAGAAACAAGGTACCATACATAACCTTTGCTGCATCAAAAAACCTTTGTCTTTAGTTCTTTCCACCATACATCACTCCTAGCAAAAGCTCAGTCGCTCTGGTGGCCAGCCAGTTTACTACTATTCAATAAAGAATCATGAGATGTCATTTGCATGTACTGCAGTTATACTAAAGATTCTTAGGTGAGGGTGAGTGGGCTTTGAAAATTGGGTCTCTGAGCCAGGATAAAGGGAAATCACTAGTTTAATTCTTGCTTTAGATAATGTGATAAATTTAATTCCTTATTTATAGGATTTAAATTTATTAAATCCTAAATAAGAAGAGCAAGTCAAAAATTCCCTTCGTGACCATATAGATAACAACTGGTCAGGGAGATAACACTGTATCTACCAAGTGTTTTTTTTTTTTTTATTTTGTAAATGTAGCATGCTAATAAACTGTAAAATGTGGTTCTCACATTTCCTACTCTTTACAAGTCTATTAATCAGAATGTCAAGTGTAGGTCCACCTATAGGTTATTTATAACACCAGTAAAAAAACAAAAAAACTGATTACCTCTCCGTTGTTGTTAGCCCTCAACAAGGATGATGATGATTAATATACTACCTGTCAAGGTTTTATAGACGTGATCTCATAACACACTGGTGATGCAGCTCATTAATATCTGCCTCATTTTCCAGGAGAAGGAATAAGGTTGCTGGTTATACAGTTCGCAGGGGTGGCTGAGGTAAGATTTAAATCCAGGAAGTCTGACTCCAGAGGGCAGGCTAGTCACTCTGGGATCTTCTGCCTCCCAAGGGCAACCTTCTACCTAGAGTTTACAGAAGAGAACCAGCTTTCTTCATGTCTTACTAGACCACAGGCTAACAGTAATAAGGAAGTGAAGTTCAGTTGAGCGTACTTGGCAACAGTTCCAGTGCAGGAGAGATTTATTTCTCAGACCTCCCAAATATTCTCAGATTTTCTTGGCTCTATTTTCTCAACATGGAACAGTTTTTGCTTCAGTCTCCCTGCCTGTCCACATGATTGGAGTATATATCACCACGTAGCCTTGCCCCGCCAGGGCAGAAGAAAGGAGTATAGATGTGTTATGAATTTCTCTTGGGCCATTCCAGCAGGTTACCCAATGGAACTTCACCCTGGTTTTCTTTGTTCCTAGAGCAATCATAATTCAAAACTCACATAAGTTACAAGGGTATAGGAAAATTTGGATGCTGATTATAAAGCAGGTAGAAGTTTCCCAAACATTGAAGCTGAACTAATGATCTCTAAGTTGTGAACACAAGAGTTGACTCCCTTCAGGCATAAGGACCTTTACAAGGTACTGGCCTCCTGGGACATTTCCTAGGTGCCCACAATGGGCAAACCCCAGCAGCACAGGCTGGCTGTACCTAAAACCTTAGTTCCTCAAATTGGACTTTGGACTTTTGCCCACTTAATCTAGTTTCTCCAAAACTCTGCCAGCCTGATGCTATCTTCAGTTCAGTTTCATGTTCTCATTCATTTTTTCTTTTTTTTTTCACTTATAAACTTCCCCTTTCTATTTAAGAAATCTCTTCCTATATCCCCAAACTGACCCACAGGATAACTTTTAAAAGCTTAGGGCAGTAAACAATTAGGATTTGTTGTTTTTTACTGATAGGTTCCAATGTTGCCCAATTTGCAGTAACCTCAGATAAAGACATCCTGAATAATAATAGCAATAATAATAACATAGTAGTATCTAGAAAATAATCTCTGTTTATTTAGGCAGCTTTTTATTGATCACAGTATTATTCGAACTGCAAATCTTTATTTTTTTTTGAAAAATCAGGATTCTCAGTGAAATCGTATAGCTAGGCAGACAGGAGTAAGTTCTGAGAAATGTGTCTTTAGGCAGTTTCATCACTGGGTGAACATCCTAAGTATAGTTACACAAACCTAGATAATATCTCCCATTATACAGCTAGGCTATTTGTAGGATCTCTGTCATGCACACTGTCCATCATTGACTCAAGTATTGTTATCTGCCACAACACTAGTTCTGAGTGATCAGTTCATTTCAACTTACCCTGCTTACAGCATGCTGGCCCTAGATAAGCCACTGTGGTGAGGACATTCATGTAGTTTGTCTCTGTAGTTATTGAATCTTTTCTTAACTTAGAGAAGTCAAATCTCTTCTTTTGTGTCCAAGGATACGCTTGTAAAGTGTCAGAATAAAAGCTAAGTGTTTTCCTTGAGGAGTGTGCAAAAGGTTGGTGAGAGGACTGGGAGAGGTTTTGTGGAGGAGGCCAGCCTTGTGGGCTAAGATTCCTCCCAGGAAGACTGCCTACGGCCATGTGGGGTTGGGCCGGCAGGAGGAAAGTTTGCTTCGTCAGGTCATTTGGCCACATAGCCCTGACAGGCTTCCTTGCTTGGACAGTAGCTCTTAGCCCATTTTAGTAGAATGATCCCTTCCAATGAGAGGTACCCTTTATTTCTTTCCTTCCTTGTTATCTCTGGATAAGTTTCATTTTCTAGTTTTCATTTCTGACAATATGTATATTATCCTAAGAATTAAAAATTGAATGTTTCTTGCAGGTTTTCAGATCCATTAAAGCCAACCAGGCTTTTATCTGTTTAATTGTTTAAAAGTCATGTGAGTATAAAAGGAACCAAAGCATGCACCTAGCAAAGGACTTAGTTATTTTTTGTTTGGAATTAAGAATGTATTCTTTGGCTTAAAAACAAACAAACCTGGCCCTCCCTGGGGGCGCAGCAGGTTAAAGTGCAGCACTAAGAAGCTAAGGCCACTTCCGCCTGAGTTCGATACCCGCCTGCCCTGGAGGTGACCACATGGTGTGGCAGACCTCTCCTGACCTGCCCGCTGCTCCCCTCAGCAGTGTATTTTATCAATCTGCCTGTCCATCTGCTCCCCCACTCTGTCTCTGGTGAATCCTCTCACTGCCCCTGCACCTCTGGCCTGTACCCCAGTTCTGTATGCACAAGTAAATAAATCTTTAAAACAAACAAACAAAGTTATGATTTCTGAAACCTTTGAAGTGTCTGAAATCCAACTTAGGAATTTACATAGCTGTATTCCCTTATTAAGTATATAGGAGTGGGTGAATGTATTTCAGGAAAGAGAAAGATGAACTGGAAATGATAAAATGGTCTCAAATCTTGAGTCATCTTTTTCTTGTTTCTTTAGGAACCATTGGCCAAATTAAAAGTTCTTCAGCTGATAATCTTTGTTGGACAGATCTCATAAAGAAAGTTGAAGCATATTAATCTCCTTTCTTGTTGTATACACGTTCTATGATTTTTAAAGTAGAAGGAGGAGCCCCAAATTCATGGGTTAAGATGTCTGGGTACTTGGGGGTAAAATAGTTACATGGCATGAAAGTGTGCATACAAAACAAAGCACATTTATAAGAGGATAATGCCGTCTAAGTAATATTCAAATCTAGCTTATCTCAGTGTTTATCTGTACAAGTCTCATGCATCACCAGGTTTGCTCCTAGCAGTAGCCCTGGGAATTGGGGTGCATAGATGATGTCACCATTATAGAAAGGAGAGATCACTTGCTAAAGTGGCAGAATGAACCTGTTACTTCATTCTAAATTGTTCCACTCCCTCACAGTGCTTTCTTTATAACACTCTCATCAAATTGAACCCTTGTGGAGGGAAGGTAAAGTCTTCATGAATAATATGAGTTTGTACATATTGAGAATTCAACATATACGGGCACTACAAATTCACATAAATCTTAAAATAGAAAGTATTAGTTTTCAAAACATGAAAATGATCAGCTGAGGCTTATGGATCCTGAATGCTGAGAATTATAATTTAGTGCTGTGTCTTCAGTGAGGAGCCACAGAGCTCCACTGGATCAATCCTTCTGGAATGCTGTCTTGGGCATAATCATAGCACCAGGCTGGAGGAGTCATGAAAGTAGGCTGGTAAAGAAATGGCTTGGACTTCTGCTTCTGCTACTTGATGGCAGTGGGTCCTGAAAACATTCTTTAAATTCTCAAAACTTCTGATTCTCCCATTGTAAATGGGGATGGTAACAATGTGTAACAGAGATGGCTATAAAGAATTTGTGAGATAGTACATGTGAAAACTTCAGCCCTGCCAACAAATGAAATTGCCACAGTTGTCTCTATTAGACAAAAGGCCACAGAACACAGATCCTAGAGCTGGGAACCTAGGTTAGCCGCTCAGCTACATGTCCCACCAGCACATGGGTGAATGTATTTCAGGAAATACATTTAACCAAAGTCATTTAACCATTCTCTGTCTCAGTTACCTCATCTGTAAAATGCAAATAGTATTGCTTATCTCATAAGATATTAGGATTAAAATATATAACCCAGAATATACATAAAGTTATGTAAGCGCTAATAATTAAACTTCTGTTTTTTCATATAAGCTCCCTAGCTTGTCTCAGTGGGATCCCCAGCCCCCTTGTTTCAGGGATATTGTCTTGGTGCCCAGAATTCCCGCTTGTCAGTTAGGTGTGGGGTCGTGCAGGGGCCTCTCATCAAAGGCAAAAGTCCTGGCATGAGGAATATATTGGAAACCAGTATCTGCTGAAAACAGCAGGCAGCTATTAGTGCCGAGATAATCTGCTTAGACTGGCAGGAACAATGGAGCACTCCCATACCCCACCCCCACTACCCCAGGCAATAGTCCCTGGTCACTCTACCCTAGTTTATGTCCTGGCTAATGCATCCCCCACACATGCACACCCCTTCCTGCTTACCCCACCGATGTACTTGATGCTAATAAATATGAGACTACCTTTGGATCAGAGCTGCAATTTTTTGGTATAAGCCCCTCTAAGCCTCTCTCTCTCACTTGGATTTGGAATGATTTTTCCCTAACCTTTGACCTCTTCCAACACTGCTGCCCCTACAGGCAACCTGTATGAATTTATTAATTTCTGTATTTCACTAAGTTTTCATGTCATAACTCTGATACTTTCAGAAAATACAATTAGAGTTTTGGAAGTGGGAATAGAGAGTCAAAAGTTCCCCTACCATGTGTGCCTATGAAACTTCTCCTAAGCCAAATGGTATAGAGTAAAAGAGAAATTACTATTAGTTCATATAAAAAATTACGTGTACCAAGTCATACCAAATAGCATAGAAAACCCAAAATGACACTGACATATAGTAAAATCAGGAATGACTGATACATGGCAGAGCCTATAGAGTAGCTGTGGCGGGGGGCGCTTGGTGGGACCACCTTGCTTCTGTGGGTGCATGGCCTCTCCCAACAGCTGCTACAAAGCAAATTTTCACCTATTGTCATAACGTTGAATATCCTTTTTGGGCTTCTTTCTGTTTCTGAAAACAGGCACTAACATAGGTATCTCATAAAGCTGAAGTGGTGAGACATGAAATTTGTAAAAATGAGAGACACCTGTGTTTCTCCATTATAGTTTTACAATCCAGGGGACAAATTTGTATATATTGCATACTCTAAATACAGAGGTAAGCAGAACTTTTTTACTCTCTCTCCATATTATCGGGTCCTGCCTGAAATTGTGGTGAGTGGGTTAAAACTGTTCCTCTCATGTCCACCAACTACATTAAGGAGAGTGGATAAGTTTAAGATGTTGCCTATTGCCTTGGGTCCAGTTGGTCCCAGAACAGCTGGCGACATGAGCCAGAATGTTAAGTCCAACTTTAAAGTATAGTTGCAGAAATAAAATATTTGGTAGGTGAGCCCCTGCATTCCATCTAGACTGGGGCTGCCATATGGTCCCCCCACCTGTCAATCTCACCGAGTTACTCAACCTGCAGAACAGGTGTGTTTCCTGTCAGGGTTTTATCCTCTTTGGAAGCAAAATGTCAGGTGTGATTATAATTTAAATATTGAGGTGTAACTGAAGGCTCAGGAGAGAGTTTATTTTCTAAAATGGAAGAGCTTTATATTTTTCTAGCTATAAAAATAAATCCTGTTTTAGAAAATTTCATACTATAATTTAAGCATTATTGAAAGGTAAAAACCACACATAGTCCCACTGCACAGCAAAAACTACTGTAAACCTTTGGTGTGTATCTTTCCAGATGTTTGTGTGGATATTGGTATGCACGTATGGATACTAAATTTTATGGACCCATCTTACAGTATATGAGGATATCTTCTTTGACAACAATAGGCATCTATCTGTATTATAATTGTTAACTGAGGTATAAAATTTCACTTCACAGATGTGTTGTTGATATAAGGTTGTTTCCAAGTCTCCAGGATGTCTGAGTTTGATTGCCATTTTCCCTTTTAGGAGCTCCCTGGGTCTGAGATCTAACTCAGAGATGGAGTTTTCAGGCTCATCTTCGACCACCACTGAGCAGCAGTTGCAGAAGCAAGAGGAACTGAGCAACACCGAAACTGACTGGGCCGAGCAGAACCTCATCTCATCCAAAGAATGGCTTCAACTACATGGACTTAAGAGCAACAAGTTGACCTTGAAACAGATTTTGTCACAGATTGGCTTCCCACACTGTGAAGGTATACTGTTCACAGAGCGGCTCTACTGAAGCCCAAGCAGCACACGACCCTTTAGTCTGCCCCAGTTTAAGTCCCTTCAAGAACAGATCTTCGAGCTTGGAGATCTGTTTTGAATTGACATCCTCACTAATGAAAATGTTTGCGCATGATAGTTGTACAGTTGTACATAAGAGCCACACAATAAATATCACTAACAATTTTCTCTTCTTTTGAAGACCAAATAAAAAAATAGAAGTTATTTGCATTTATTCATACCTCAAAGTATATCTTGTTCATCCCCAGGAACGTGCATAACCCCCTTTTTGAGGTGCTGATTACGATAGTTGTGTGTAGTTTTAGGGAGAGTGTACTGTATTCCTTTGTGACTTTCTTTATATTATGCTCCATGACTCAGAACATGCATATTTTGAATGTACCCTGCAAAAAAAAAAAATCATAATGTAGTAGCTGTCTCTATTTCTTATACCTTCTTTACTGGGAGATCTAATTTGTATAATTATAGCTGTTCCTGATTTTGTTTAATGCCATTTATTTGTAGGATTGTCTTCCAATCTTTAAGTCTGTGCTTTGTTGGCAAGATGGGTTTCTTGTAAACAGCAGAAGGTTGGACTTTGTTTTGAAATTCATTCTATCACTCTGCATCTTTTGACTGGTGCAAAAGTGTTATTTACCTTAAAACTACATAGTTCCCCACCCTCACCCAAACTATCTATTCTCTGTCTCTATGTGTTTGCTTGCTGTAGACATTTATGAAATCATATGTATGGTACTCTTTTGTAAGAGTTTCTTTGTTTTTTTTTTTACCTGAGCGTAATGTTCTTAAGGACCATCCATATTACACCATAGCCAGTACTGCATTCCTTTTTATGGCCAAATAATATAAGGAGATGAATTGTTTAAGCAGACCACAATTTATTTATCCACTTATTGATGGAGAACTGATTCTTATTCTAGCAGGTAGTTAACTTGGCTGGACACAAACTCCAGACTCTGCCTTTCCTGCAAAATCAATGCTAATCTCACCAGGAAATTGCTTTCTGTCCAAATTGGTACCACTTCAATTTCTACCTATTCTATATTGTTCTCTAGTACCTTCAAATAACTGTTTTTATATTTTATTTTATTTAATGTTCATCATTGTTTTCTGTGTAGGTTAGCCAATGAAAACTACTCTACCATTATTGGATCCAGAATTTACAATGCCCTACATCATTTTAATTAGTAATGCATCTCCTGAATCTTCCACAGAATCATCTTCTTCCTCCTCAAAACAACAACAACAAAACCAGCCATCTCTCCTGAATCCAGATAAATATCTGATATAAAGGAGTGCTATTGGTGATTTGAAGTTGCTTTATCAATGCCAGTTATGAAAAAGCATGAACAAGAATAAGAGTCTAATGTGAAAAGATTTATGCATTTTTATATTCATAGAGGCATTATTCACAATAGCTAAGTCATGGAATCAACCTAAATGCCCACGACAAATGAGTGGATAAAGAAATTGTGGAATATATGCTCGATGGAATACTACTTAAATAGATGAAATAGTGCCTTTTTGAGGCAAATGGATGAATCTTGAGGTGATTATGCTAAGTGAGATCATAAGAAAGTGACAGACAGTTACTGGATCACTCATTTGCAGAATATAAATAAAAAAGAAAAACTGACAAAACATAACAATAATAATTCCTAGATTCTGTGAAGAATATATCGGTTACCAGAGGGGGTGAGAAGGAGGGAGGAGCAGTCGGGGAGGGGGAGGAGTGGGACAGTGGCCTTGGAGCTTTCACAGAGTAAGTGAAGCCTGTGCACATGTGAAGGTGCAACATTGTACTCCCCAACCTATATAGATATGTGCATGATTGCAAATTATAAAATGCGAGGAACAACAATTCTAATACTTCCACCCCAACACAGACACACACACACACAATGTCAGTTGAGAAGGTGAAATGCTGGAAATAGAAATTTCAGAGTATGAGAGGTTGTTGAGTCAGACTATTGTTGCTAAAATTGAAGTATCCATTCTTTACTTTTTGTTATTATGAGTACTGAATTTCAAGACTTGTCAGTTTTGTCACACCTAGTGATTTGGGACCAAGTGAGCCAGAGAGGCTATAAAATTCAGCCCTGCCCTTTCTGACTTTCCAAAGTAGATTGCTAGCTTGCCTCCCTAGAAAGGCAGAGGGGAGGAAGTGCTGGATACACATTTTTTTCTCCCAAATATTATGATTATCGTGGTAAAAGCATCTTAAGATGAGATTTAGATCATCTTCTGTCCTGCCAAGTCAGTCTCTGAAGCCTTTCTCTGGCCTTCTGTAAGCTCCATGACTAAGCAGGAAGAGGTTTCCGGCAGCATTGCAACGACCCTGTCCTGTAAACACCCGGTCTAGTGCTTAGTGGGTGATTAGTGTTTATGTAGTGGCTGTTGGACAACTGCACAGACACTCTGGGAGTCAAATCTGTGGCTTTGACATTCTCTATGCATCTTCTAAATCTACTACCTTTTTCTTCAATTTGCCAGTTTATTCAAAACATACTTCATTCTAAATCCTGAATGAAAGTTTTCAGGAATTAAAAACACCTTCTATGTTGTCCTTTTAACCTCTGACTTAATTATTCTGAACAAAAGAAACAGGAAATCAAGAAACAAACCCTGTTCTTCTCAGCTCATTCATGCATTAAAGGATTTTACAGGTCATAAACAACTATATTTATCACAGCACTAGGAATATGACATCATTAAGAACAGAATATGAATCATCACACATATTGTTGGTGTCACTGGAGATATAATTTGAATGTTATCAGAGAAAAGCATTTTGAAATAAAAATAAGAAACATGGTTAATGCATTGTTTTGACTGTTTTTCTTTATAAAAATGCAGATTATGTGACTTCTCTGGGGAGACCTGTGGCTTCCCGATATGCTGATGGCCTGTTTCCGAGGTTTTACACAGTGGAGGATGGCAGAGTATACAATGTAAGTAGGAGTCTGTCCACCGATGGGGCCCCCTGACTTGCTGCTGAGGTCTGCCAGGGTGGAGGTGGAGGTCTCTGGGTGCTTCCATTGAAGGAGAGGAGATGACGCCACACCAGGGCTAAGGGTTTCCTTCTGTCTGTGTGGAGACTGATGAAAACCGTGGCCAAGAAGCCAGGGGGGAAATCTCTGAACCTGTTAGCATGCAGGAAGTTCTTGTCTAGAGATGAAACCTGTACATATCAATACTTCTAAAGAATAGAAGGCTAAAGCAGCATGACGAGGTTGGCAAAAGGCACGGGCCAGCTGCTGTTACCTGACAGGTGTGCTAGAAATAGAAAGCAACTTTACAGGTAGTGGGGGACCGAGAATGAGTTGTGCCTCTCACAGGAGTCCTTCACTCCTAGCAATTGAGCACATGGTCCTTATGTCCGTTACGCATCTTGCTCTGTGCACATCCTGGCCCACCACCCCGAGCTTATACTCCGCAGAGAAACATCTTGTCAAGTCTCTCGAAGGATTTTTGTTCTTGTTCTACATCTCTGCACCACCTGCACTGTTATTTCTTAGCATTTAGGAAATGGTTAAGACCAGGTTCAGCAGACCCTAAGCAAAAATAGCCACCGTTTTGAGTCTGGCATGCTAAATATGTCTGCAGCACATGAAAATCAATACAGGACTATCGATAGCATCTGATTTACCATCTTACCTGCACAGCACCTATAACACAGTTCCACCCTAGTTTCTGTGTATGGTTGAGACTTTTAGGGTACACGACGAATGTGGCGAGGGACTTGGGAATTCTGCTGCAAGGTGCCATGGAAGGCAGCCGACAGTGATGCGGGTCTTGAGGAGTAAGCTTGAGAGAGGCACTAGGGAAGGGCAGGAGTTTGAGGCCGAGAGGCCAGAACAAGGTGTGGGCACGTGGAATCACGTGCTATTTTCAGAAGAGTTTTTTTTAATAGTTTAAGTCTTTTGTGGTGTCCTGAGAGTTGTTAAAAGTTTTTTTTTTTTTTAAGATTTATTTATTTATATATACAGAGCTGGGGTACAGGCAGGAGGTGCAGGGGTGGTGAGAGGATTCACCAGAGACAGAGTGGGGAGCAGAACACGCCGAATGACGAAGTACACTGCTGAGGGGAGCAGCGGGCGGGTCAGGAGAGGTCTGCCGCGCCATGTGGGTTACCTCTGGGGCGGGGATCAAACTGGCGCGGAAGTGGCTTTAGCTTCTCAGTGCTGTGCTCTAACCCACTGCACCACCAGGGAGGGCCGAGTTGTTTAAAGTTTTACAAAAAGTACCAGATCATCTAAAAATTTGGTTCCTTACATAATAGGGCATACATTTTTCTTGTTGCTTTTCTGTGTACCCTACAGTCCCACACCCTGAAAGGTTTTGCACGATTGTGCCTGATCTATGTGAACTATGGTTTGAGTTTCTGTCCCATGAGTCTCACTCACCTTTCAAGGACAGCCTCTAGTGATAATGGTGGCAGCTATGGGTGATCACGTGATCCAGGTACAGAAGCGGTTGGCCTGAGAAACAGGACACAAAACAAAACCGTGAGCAGGAGCAAGAGTCTCCTAGGAAGCTGGGCGAGTGTGCCAGCGTGTTTATAACCATTTTGAGAAATATTTTTTTGGCGTATTGTACTTAGGAAAACTTTTTAGGGAGACTTTTTTTCCCATCTACCTTTACAGAGACCTTTTTTTCATTTACTTTTTTTCTATCTACCTTTACAGAGATCTTTTTTCATTTACCTAAATTCTTAAAAATGCCCCAGGTGTTTTCTCATAAAAATAATTCTTTACCTGCAAAGATAAAATGCGATCTAAAAATACATTTTTTTAAAAAATAGAGTGCAACATATGAATACATCACATTGTTGTCTTTTTTTTCTGTGGGGATTCATCCATGGGCTTTTCAGTTGAAAGACTGGAATACTTCCTCTGGATTATGTGGGATTTGGAGGATCACCATCAAAATGGTTATTAATGCACAGTTCTTGATGGCAGAAGCCATGAGTCATTGGGCCCTGTTGATCTTGCCTGCATGTGGTTCAGATGACTTTTTTTTGGCGTGGCTTAATTGTTTTATTTTCATTAAGTTAACAGCTAAATCAGAATTGATCTGTCAATTTGTGGAGCAATTAACACAGGCTGTGGAGAACTACAGGGAGCGCATGGACTGGCTCACCAGCAGGAGTCGGCAGGTTTTTGGTGTCATTTTGGAACAGTGCATCACAATCGTGCTGGACCTTGGTGGCATGCTGGAGGAGGAGCTTAATCTGTGCCAAGATGCGCTGGTCATGGTCCTCCAGGAGCAGGTGGCGCTCATAACCAAGTTCAATATCATATGGTGAGTTCCCACAGAGAGGGAGTATTTCAGCCAAAGTCACATCTAATTTTCATTTGCTTGGAGCTAAGTAGCATAACTAATTTAGTTTGCTCTTTGGGAAGGAAAGAGGTGGTGCCTTGTAAATTACCTCGCATGTATATTCCAGCAGAAAACCCACAATGAAAAAATCATAGAAAAATTTTACCTGCTTTACGCATGGCATCTTCATTTTCAAATGAGAAGAGATTTAGAAACATCCTTCTCTTCAATCCATGGCAGGGTCAAAATATGTGAATATGAATTATTTTGAATATGTATTTCAGGTCATAAAATTCTTCCACTCATTTTAGATTTTAGCTTGGATAATGAATTCTCTTGTCACAAATTTCACTGTGTTTTAGATTGAGTTTGCAACTCAAGCTGACCTTCTTGTGCATTGACCCCATTAAATCAGAACAACAGGTGGCTCGCTTTATAGAATTTCTCATGTTTCAGAATTTTCACAAGCAATTATTTGCGGATTCTTAAATTCAAGAGAATTTAGATGTTGGAGCCAACTTTTCATGTTTCACAGAGGCTGCACCTCCAGATAGGGAACATCTGGATGAAGGGTGCACCTCTGAGTTTTTCTTTTTTCAATAAAGTGTTTTCAGCTAAATCAATGACATTTTTCAGGCTGATGCCTAATTGTGCTCTAGCACTGTTTCTATTTCTGTCACAGATATATTACTGAGGGAACTAGTGCTTGTGTCTGCATTTCTTTAGCTTTCTTGGAAATGTGTTCTCACCCTATCACTACCTAGGGGGACCACGCAGAGGTGACACAGTGTGAGGCAGCCTGGTGGTGGGCTAAGAGGGACAAATCAGACTCATAAATCTAGTTCATGATTCATATACTTCTCTATGGTATTAATTCATTATGATTCATATAATTTGTTCAATTATAAAGAGATTAGTTCAAATGGCTATTCTTTTTTGGGGTGTTTCTATCTCATCTCTCTGAGTCTAAATTAAACATTTTAATAAGAATTTCCAATAACTTAAAATCTTATACTCTGATGAACATAAGATAATATTTTTGATCCAAAAGAGGTAATTGTTGGGAATCTTTGCAAACAATGATATAAAAGGATCAGAAATACAAAAGCATTAATTTGAAGGGAAGAATGCACTCCTGTGTTCTTTGCAACACTGTTTGAAGTAGCGAAATGATAGAAACAACCTCAGTGTTCAAATGCATGTCCGTACGTCAGGGAAATGTGTCTTAATACCCAATGGAATACTACTCAGCTATCAAAAAGGATAAACGTTTGCCATTTGCAGCAACACAGATGGCATTGGAGGGGATTCTGCTAAGTGAAATATGACAGGAGAAAGCCAAATATTAGATGGTATCATTTGTATGTGGGGTATAGAGGTGCCAAAGGCCAGATAAAGCCAACTAACAGGAAGCTCTATGAATATGAGTAAAACTGAAGCTACCAGAGATGGAGAGGTGAAAACAAAGCTGGGGGGAGCACAATGGACTATGGAAGTGGACTGTGGGCTTTTGGGTGGTGAGTGTGTTGTAAGAACAACACATGAAGGGGGAGACTCTATTCCTCTAAGACACAAATGATCATGTCAAGCAAAGTTACAAAAAAAAATTTGAAATAAAATTTTAGAATAATAAAATTTTTGGTTTTAATGTTGCGGATTCTTATAAATTTACTATTAGTAATGGACAGTTTTATACAAATATGTCTGCTTATGAAAATAACTTCCCTCAATATTGTGAGTGTTTACATTTTGAGATCCTCTCATTTTTCTGTAAACAGTGTTTTCCCTAGTCATGACAGCTCATGGAAGGTAATGGTACTTTGGAAATGACTAAAACAGCTTGCTCATTTCACTGGTGACTTACAGAGGGCCAGTTGCTGCATTTTCTTTCTTTTGGCTTTGGTGACATTAAGTGGTTTGTTGCACACAGCTGGGAGACAGTGTGCTGATGGCTGTGTTACTACTGTCCAGTGACAGTCCCATGCGATTCCTTTCAGTGTTTCTCAAAAGCCTATAAAATGGCAGGAAAATGCCTCTCCTGTGACGGAACAGTCAATAGCTGCTGCCATCAGTTGGGTTGAGAAACTGCCTTTTGAGCTGGCTCTGAGCCCAGCCAGCCGTCTGGATGCCCTGCTGGAAGCTGGGGAAGACAAAACAGTAAGTGTGTATGCATGACTGCCCCAGGTCCCAGGCAGGCTCAGACCTTTCAGCTGACCTTGCTCCTTTCCAAGCTGCACCCTGCAGAGACCCTGCCGTTGACTCGAGGAGCCCGGTGTGTTTTCATCCCATTCATTTCTGAATTCTGAACCAGTTGAGAAATAGGTGGCAGGCCTCAAATGGGGATCAAAACGGGAGTTTGGCAGTGGCAAAATGGACCAATAAAAATGAGACTCTAACATCCCTGAGTCTGGGTGGGGTCCTCTTGCAGGGCAGAGCTTCATGTTGCTGGTGCCAAGCTACTTGTTCAGCCACTAAGCGTCAATAAAGGCCCAAGAATCTGGCTCTAGCTGTGCATTGCTAACACTTTACCTTCACTTTTGCTCGCCTGGCAATGAGAGAAAGCGTTCCATCTGTTGTGGGAGGAGAGATTGAAAGGCTGCTCTGTGCCCTGGGATGAAGATTAGGATTTTCTCTATCCACATCCATGTTCTGAATCTTTTCAAATTCTTCACAACTGGGTTTCTTTTGTATTTCAAGCGAAGTACATCCAAGCTAATGAGTCATCCTTTTTTGATGTTAATGTAGAGTAAGATGTCACAAGAAGTACATTCTGGGCATTGCGTCCTTAGGTGATTTTGTCTTTGGGCGAATGTCAGACTGGAATTGCACAAAGCTACGTGGTCTGGCTCACTGTGGATGGTGTTTATATGGTGTAGTCTCCTGGAACCCCCCTCAGTGACTGTATTTACATCTGTACTTTGATAGGCACCTTTTGGGAAGAATTGATTATATGATGGTTTTTAAGTATCTTTTTGCCCCAAGGGTGTCTGCTTCTGTGAGTGACTTTATTGGTCAGACTGTTACAGTAGCACATAGCTGAAGGGGAACATACACAGAACAGTAAGTGGGGTCCTTTGCTCATCCTCACTCCTTGGGTGCCTGGTTGAGGATAGGTGTGCTTTCCTTTGGGATACAGATACTTAATTAATACCTACCACTTACTTAAGTTAATTAATATTTAATTGCTTTCTTTGCTCTGGAAGCTTTACTCTGCTCCATGAAGTTCTTGAACAAGGAGAACATGTGCCTGCACCCTGAAAGGAGAGCCCCCAAATGTCACAGCCTCTGATTATGGGTACTGAGGGTGATGGTCAGAAGTGGGAAACACATGGTTTATGAAGACTGAGGAACAAATGTTTCTCATTAAAGACCAGAATATAAGCTATTTTGTTCTTTGACTTTTCAAGTTTGTTTTAACATCTGTAAATTTTCAAATGTCTGGACACTGCAAAAGCATTCAAGAAATGTGACATTTCGCAGGCCTTTGTGTGTGTGTGTATGTGTGTACACATGCCTGTGTGTGTACAGACACACACATGAGCAAATAGGCCTTCTCTTTCTTTGTCTTTTTTTCTTGACTACCCTGGTGCTGTGTGCCTCTGATGACCTGATATAACTGCAAGTTTTCCTGGTGACCCTGCTTTTCTATTGGGCTTCTCCTTGACCTAAACCTCTCCTTTTCTTAGAGTTTATACCTATCCCAGGAGATATGGAACAAGGTAGTAAGTTCTACACAAGTCCTATAGGAAAGAGAGACCCAGAAAGAAATTAACATGCTCTGTCATCAAATGCCACTTGAAAATTCTTGATAAAGAGACTGTGAAATATGGGAAATGCACACATATTCTGATTGCTTTGTCTTGGCACTTAGGGCTTGAATCTGGATGTTACGCCATGGAACAGTTTCATAAATGCAACTTCTATCCATCTGTCTATGTATGTATGTATGTATGTATCTATCTATCTATCTATCTATGCCATGCCCTGTGTTTTATGAGGAATAAAAATAACTGTGTATGTGAGGAGTGGGTGAGTTCCTGGAAGGGCCTGCTTCTCTGCTTTGTGCCCCTGTGAACACCCCAATGAACCTCAAATTCATCCATGTATTTGCATGAATAGAAAAGATTTACAGCTTAAGAAACTTTCTGACCAGTAAATCTAAACATGTGGGCTTCCTACTGATGATGACCTATTTTAAGTTAGCATCTCCCAAGAGCGTCCTGAGGGGAACAAGAAAGTGGGCATTGCTTTGTCCCCACAGAGTAACACAAAAGTCAGGCTTTTGTACCAGGCCCATGTGAGGCTGAGTGGCTGAATGATGTTCTTAGTTATGGTGAAGGAAGATGCCAGAAGGTCGCCGGCCTCCTCTAGGACCAAGGTTGTAACCTGATAGAGGGACTGCAAGGTGAGCCTTCAGACTGGAATGATCCTGGGCCGAGTGTAGGGGCTTGTTTAATAACTTGTGGTTCTAATAAAAGCTGGAGAAGAGCACTGATGGTGAGTGAATTGGTGTATTCTGTGAAAAAGAGCCTGATTCTTGAGAAGGGCAGTCTGTGGGGTGCTGAGGGAATGTGCAGCAGGTTAGAGGCGCCTGAATCATTCTCACAACCCAGGCCTGTGTCCAGTACAGGAGTTCTGCCCTGTGGTATCCTCCAGTATCCCAGGGCGCATTAGTTTCGCTGGAGAGGGGTATTTTACCAGGAGGCCCTAGAAGGCCTGCTGCTGCAGGATGTGTGGGGCTTTTGGGAAAAAGAGGGCTTTATATCTAAAGCTCTGCTTCCCAGCTGCCTAAGAAGGCTAAAGGAGGGACTTGTTTCTGCTCTTAGCAAAAGGCCAGTTGTATTTGTCTGTGTTCCCTCAGCCTCTCTCCCATCTACCTGATAGGCACAGATTTGTTTACTTTTTTGAAGTCATATTCACTGGAAGGCTAAGTGGGTGACAGATCCATGTAACTCTGTAAGGGACCTTTAGTGTTGGACAATGAGCTGAAGGACTGGCCACATCAATTATGAACCTGACATTTCATTGATTTCTTTTCAGAGTAGCTCAGATAGGTGTCAGATCTTTTCACTGTTGTGTCCCTAGGATGGCAGTACCTCGCAAGGACTTGATAAACATTTGCTGAATACTGAAAGAATGGGAAACACTGTTTATGTTCTTAAAGTTAGGGTCAAGATATGGCTCCCAGGCTTCTATCCCCAAGCTCTGATACAGATTTGAATAGTTTGAATGAAAGAGGTGGTCTGTGTGGGACTAGGCAGTTGAATTCACTGAGCTTTGTATGACTATTGTGGAAGTGGAGACAGAGACCGTAAAGTCTGGGAGGCCAGAAAGTTGGTGAGCTGTAAAGGATGTTAGCTGTGGTCTGAGGAGGGAGCTAGATCAATACAGTAGGGCACTCACTACCCTATGGGGGTCAGAAATTCAGGAAAGGCTCCACAGAAGTTGGACTCTAGACCCAAGATCTAGAGTTGGTCAAAGTGGGATAAAGAGTAGTACAAAATTTTCTAGAACTCTTGCAGCTGCCCTGGTTGACTTTTGTTTTTGCTACTTTGCAAAGTAGACATTTTCATACCTGGAGGCATGGGAGCTCCTGACAGGTGACCGGAGCAGGAGCAGCCATTCCCATCTGGTGCTTCTTTCTCCTTAAGCCTGGGGCTGGGAAGTTGCCAAAGTCTCCTTGCCTAGGAAGAATGTAGGTTATTGTGCAAGGTTGCAAAACAAATGACCCGGACAGAATAAGACATTTCAGGTGAAAATATAAAGGCACGACCTTATTTTATATAATTTAAAGTGATAAGAATTTTGGGCTCATGATAAAATAGCAAATGGAACCCAAACATCTTCCATATCTTGTGCAATCAAATTCAGTACCAATCATCATTAGGGACATGCTGAACAGTGAAGAACTGCCTTTCCTCCTGCTTCTGCTGATCCTCAAGACTGTCCCTACCTTCAGGAACTCTGAGGTATAATTTATGGGGTGAAGATTCCCATGGGTCTACTTTTCCTGAGTCACACAAAGTCCTGGACCCTAGTTTTGGTCAATGATGTTCATATAGTAGGGCAGGAGCCTCAGATGGCATGGGAACAAGGAATGAATATAGTGCCTACTTTTGGTCACCATCTTTCCCTGTAACCTTGCTTTCACAATTCTGGGGTTCATGTCCACCAGAGTAGGTAATCATCCTTGCCATGAACAGCTGACACAGCGTGGTGGTTGAAAAAAGGGCAGAAGTGGGCCTCCCTGGAGGCATAGTGGTTAAATATGCACTATCACTCTATCACCGCTGTGGCCTGGGTTCAAACCCTGGCCAGGGAGTGGAACCACATGGTGCAGCAGATCTCTCCTGTCTTGCCTGCTGCTCCCTTCAACAGTGTATTTTAGATTTTAGTAGATCTGCCTGTTGTGCTCCCCACTCTGTCTCTGATGAATTCTCTCACTACCACCCTCTCCCTACCCCCAGCCTACACTCCAGTTCCTATATGCATAAATAAAAATAAATTAAAAAAAAAAAAAAGACCAGAAGCTGATGGGATCAGGAGACAGTTCAATTGCTGGAACAGTCAAAAAGCCTGTCTAGTCTCACTTTCGCCATTTGTAAACTGGGCATGAGAACAAATATTCGTTCTCCACAGGACTGCTGTGAGTATTAAAAGAATCCATATTAGTTTGTCAAATAGCAGATGACCCCCAAAAGCATTTCACTTTAAAAAGCATTCTGCCAGATTGGTGGCAAAATGATGGGAGATATAGGTAACACATTTACCTCTTTCCTTTCCACTGTTGTTATGTCAGATTAAAGGAAAGGCAGAAAAACAGTACAGGAGGAAGAGGATGGTTGGTCTCAGTGTAAGTATGCCTCAGGAAATCTGTGGAGCATGTCACTGAGAGCTGACTAAAAACATAGGTAATAAGAAGCTGAGTATATGGACTTAATGAAAAGTGAGTGACCAACCACACAGACTTAAAGAAGGGGAGGAATTCCTAAATCATGACTGGTTACAGTTATTTTTTTTTTTAAGATTATTTATTAATTTATTCACATAGAACTGGGGTACAGGCCAGAGATGCGGAGGGTGAGAGGATTCACCAGAGACAGAGCTAGGAGCAGAACAGGCAGATAGATGAAGTACACTGCTGAGGGGAGCAGCGGGCAGGTCAGGAGAGGTCTGCCACGCCATGTGGAGCTTCTCCGGGGCAGGCGGGGATGGATCGAACTCATGCGGAAGTGGCTTAAACTTCTTAGTGCTGTGCTTTAACCCGCTGAGCCACCAGGGAGGGCCTACAGTTATTGTTTTAAATGAAATCATGACAGAAAACATTTCTGTACCAGGATTTTAGATTCTTGGGTTAATACCAGAGCAAAGAAATGGAGTTTGCAACCGAGAATGCTATAGAGACTCAGTGTGTCAGAGCTGCGTACAGACTTCCTAGCGGCTGCCGTCATTCTCCTCCCCGATGATCTAAGAAACCATAGAATATTCTTCACGTGTCTGTCCCCTAATCTGTCACATGCGATTTTGGATTCTCGTGAGTGGTGAGCCCATCCCCATACTGAACACGGGCACTGCCGTAGCTGGAAGCTTTACGGTTCAGCTGGGAGCCTGTACATTTTACACACAGTAATCTGCAACACAGGAGGAGGAGACAGAGTGCCTGCACCAGAACAGTAATTGTTGACTTTAAGGAATCTGGAAAACACTCTTTTCTGTTTTTTTCTCTTATTTTTTTTCTGACTCAGTAACTAAAAGAAATCTACATTCCTTCTTTCTTTTTAGGTCAGAGTTAAGATCTAAAAGCCCGAGAGGAGTCACAGGGTGGAAATGGGCTTTTTTGACTTCGATTGTGAGGCTTATTGTTGAAGTAGAGTCCCGGTTCCCACTCTGCCCTTCCTCCTCCTCCGACTCCTAGCCTACCCCTTTGCCCACCACCCTGCCGAGCCTCCAGTGGGCCCTGGCTACTACTGACAGGGTATCCTAACCAACTGAGGAGCTGATCATGTGTGCACCGCTCTGTGCCAGATGAGTGTAAGTCCCAAGTTTGAGAGTAAAGTGAGATGGTGAACTATTTTCCTTCAGCGGATGGGGGTTTGTGATCAGAGTGGGAAAACATATCTGAAAGGATGTTGACACCTTTGTATCCCTTAAAACACAATTCGTTTCCTGGGTTTCTTCCCCAGGTATCTGTGGAGATGATCAGTCAAGGAATTTTCAGTGACAAGCTGAGCTGATGGGTATTTCTGGCTCTCCCCGGTTCTTACTTTCTAAGATTTGTATACTCAAAGGAGTGTAAGTCATCCTGTTGAAGTTCAGGCCTGAGGTAAACTGCACTATCTCCCATTTTACAAGGGAAGAAACTGAAGTGCAATCACTTGCCTGAGGTTACAGAATTCTATAGTGGCAGGGGAGACAAACATCCTGGAAGACAAAATCCTGCAGGGGAGGAGAGCTCAGTGTGGTGGAGATGGGGAAAGAATTCACATCTCTCTAAATTAGGCTGGGAGCATTTGGGGATTGTCTCCTCCCCTGGTGAGGAATGAGAAATGAGTCTCCCAGATCTCTTGTTTAAGCATGGGATGTGTGTGTGTGCGTGTGTCTCTCCGGACAACAGACTGATTCTTGTGATCTGCACATGGCAGTGAGGGTCAAGGCCCAGTGGGCGGGCCTGGGCCCTGACATGCTGTGTGAAGTCAGGACCATCTTTCCTGTGAGTTGAGCAGAAGGACTCACCATCTGCCTCTGAGGGAGGATGGATGCACTTACATTGTAAAATCATGGCACACCCATAGGAAATGGCAATATGATTCCTGCCCACAGTGGCTGTGCCAACCCATCTTCCCTTGACTTGACTTGAAAGTAGCTGCACCTCACCTAAAGAATGAACTCCTTGGCTCAGAGGATCTACTCTCCAAATCTGCCCCCCCATATCCTTCTCATGCAATACCTGAGCCACAGCCCCTGCCAGTGAACCTTGACACCAGGCCTTGAATATTTCATTCCCTGACTTTGGCCCTTAAGTGTCCCACAAAGCATTGAGTGGTGCTGCGCTTCTTCCTGACGACTTACGAAAGAGAGAGATAGATGTGCAGAAAGGCGCTGCCAGCGGGGCAAGGGCACAGGAGGGACGTGACCTGTAGGGACTACTGTTTTGCAGATTGAATCCATTTACTACTTTGTGGTGGGGGATGTTCCTGAGGAATCCAAGGAGCTTCTCCTTAAGAGGGCTTTGGAGATCCCACATCCTGTCTGCACGGTGTCCTTCAATGCCAGAGGAGAAGACACTATTGAGTTCTTAAAGCTTCTGAGTGCCAAGACTCACAGCAGGTAGGTATAAAGCATGCTGTGGTGATGGCATGGTCACTTCTGGCTTTAACTCTCAGCGGTGGGTCTGGGATGCTTTCCTGTCTGCTGCTGCGCTTGTCCCCTCTTAGTCTCCGTGCTCACTTTTCTTCTTTATCTTGTATGATCCTTTTTTTTTTTTTTAAAGATTTATTTATTTGTGCATACAGAACTGGGGTACAGGCCAAAGATGCAGAGGGTGAGAGGATTCACCAGGGACAGAGTGGGGAGCAGACAGGCAGATCGACAAAGTACACTGCTGAGGGGAACAGCGGGCGGGCCAGGAGAGGTCTGCCGCACCATGTGGTCACCTCCAGGACAGACAGGAATCGAACTCATGCGGAAGTGGCTTTAGCTTCTTAGTGCTGTGCTTTAACCCGCTGCGCCACCAGGGAGGGCCCCGTGTGATCCTTTTTATTAGCTTCTATAATTCTAAAGTGTTGATACATTGGCCCTTACTGGCCCTGAACAGATGTCTCTCCAGGGCTAGCTGATTGTGAGAGGTAGTAGGTGACCACAGGAAGTGTACCTTTCATCTGCAAACCAGCTGATCCAGAGCCCACACTCCCAATCCGCATTCTCACAGTTAAGGTCAACATTCCACATAGCCTAACCATCCAGAGCAGGTACCAGACAACTCAGGACGGTCTCTCCTCCTCAGAGCCTGCTGAAATGATTTAAGCTAGCGAGTCCTATGTCTGGATACATTATCTTACCTGCTCCTTCCTGCCGAATCCACACTGAAAAATCTTGCTGTGTTTTCCCTTGGCCTTCTGGCCACCCCCAGTGCTTCCCTGTTGGCCCCATGTGGTGTGACATGCCCTATCTCTTGGGAACTATATTTGTCAGCTCTAGCAGCCATGCCAACGTGACACAGACTGGGTGACTTAAACCACAGATGTTTATGTCTCATGTCTCATAGTTCCGGAAGCCCAGTGTCAAGGTGCTGGCTGGTTCAGTCTCTGGTGAGAGCTCTCCTTCCGACTTGTAGACAGCTACTTCTTGCTGTGTCCTTGTATGGTAGCTAGAGAGATATGGGGAAAGGACCAAGTCCTCTGCAGTCTCTTCTTATACTGATACTAATCCCACTAGAATAGAACCCCAACCTTCTGACCTTATTTGACCTTAATTAACCTCCTTTAGACCCTATCTCCAAATCTAGCACTTTGGGGATTAAGGCTCAGCATATGAATTTGGTACATGGACACAATTCAGTCCAGATTTGAGTCGTAAACTGTTTAAATGGCAATTATCTTCTGATCTGTTGGCCTCACCAAACCTGAATAAAAATAAATTCTATATTTAAAAATATACCCCACTCCTTGGCTGTGGAGAGAGACAACTACTTTTGTGGTTACAGGAGAATGACTAAGTCCTTTCCTAAGTTAGTCTGTGTGAAATGCCTGCTCTTGAGTGTTTGTTCATAAATTGAGTTGTCTGGAAAGACTGTTTGTTGCTCATTCAAATGCCCGGTGATTACTTCTGAAGGCAGATTCCACACAATAGAGGAGAGCCTGGGAAATGCCTTTAGCCCTCCAGGTAAAAACTTTCTAGGGAGATTTATTTAAAAGTAGCTCTCTTGGCCACAGCCGCCCCAGAGATTTGATTCTCAGGATCTAGGGAGGACCAGGAAGTTGCATTTTATGAGGACCTCTGTTGATTTTGAAGAGCATTTTTTAACTTCAGGTGCTTGAGTTCAATTGTGTAGGTTCCCCAAACCCCCTAAAATAGAGAGGGCTCACCACCCTACCTTTGCTAGTGGAGAGAAAAAGGTAACTCTCTTGCTTGTCCTGTGCTTAGCACATCTGTGTCCTTCCTCAAGGAAGGCAAGGCAAGGGAGTCACTCAACAGGGGACAAGCTGCACTTCAGTTTCCAACTTTTACTTCCTGGACCAGGCAGTGCTAGTTGTGCAGAGGAGGAAGAGATGCAGATGTGTCCTAGCCCTGCTCTGACCTTTGTGAATGACCCCAGTCCACAACCTGTGTGATGCGCTCTGCTTGCTCCATCCCTGCCAAGTTGCCAGCAGTCTCTCTATGTTCCTTGAGTCCCAGCTGATGTGCAGTTATGATAGGTCTGCCTTGAGCATTTTTGCTCATGGGGAGGCATACTCTGGGTTTCCCTTGCCTGAGGTTGTGTTTGTGTAGAACTACCAACCCTCAGGCATAACGCTGAACCCAAAAGGTTTCCCAAAAGCCTTAACAGTGATTACTTTCTGTGCTGTAAGGTTGTATTGCCAGAGGAAATGTCTGCACTGCTCTCTTTACTAACCAGAGATTGGATCCTAGAGTAGAAAGTCCTGGGTACCTAAGGCCTTGGCCTTCAGGGCATGTGACCTATGAGGAAAAACCTGAGGTATCTTCCTTTGACCCAATGAGCAGATCATGGGAGGAAACAAGCTAGTCTTTTCTGGCCTGTATGAAGGCCTTTGCAGGGGCAGGACTGAGCTGGATTGAGTCTGTTTCTTTAATGAGGGGCCTCTGGAATAAAGCTGGGCTCTTTTTTTTTTAAGATTTATTTATGCATGCAGAACTGGGGTACAGGCCAAAGGTGCAAGAGTGGTGAGAGGATTCACCAGAGACAGAGTGGGGAGCAGAACAGGCAGATTGACAAAACACATTGCTGAGGGGAGTAGTGGGCAAGACAGGAGAGTTCTGCTGTACCATGTGGGTCACCTTCAGGGCTGGGAAGTGGCTGTGGCCAGATTGCAGTGCTGTGTCCCAACCCATTGTGCTACCAGGGAGGGCCAGGGGTTGTTTATTTCTATCAAGTCTCATTCTAGCCTCACCAGAAACCCTTCCTAAGTAGATAGGACTGAGGCTTTCCAGGGCCCAGATGAGCCCCTCCACCCCTCATTCTCTCAATATCTGCCCAGCCTAGCCTGTACTTTGTATTCTCTTTGCTCTAGCAAGTGGCTGCAACAGGTAGTAGTGGAATCCCCGGGTGTGTGTGGGGAGGCAGGAGGAGTGTTACTACTAGAAAGGTCCTTCTGTTACTGATGTTTGCATTCCAGATAATTGGCTTAGAGGGTATGCTGAGTCCATCACCCCCACCACTACACCATCATTTCTTGACCTTTAAGGGGTGTACCAGTCCTCAGGGATCTGTTGAAGAATGCATTCTGACTCATTATCCAGCCGGGACCTGGGGTGTTCTCCTTAATGAGCTCCCAGGTGATGCCACTGTTGCTTCTGGGACCACTTTGAGTAGTCAGACTCTAAAAACTTGCCCACACAAAGCATTCTTTTCATTAGTGCTGACCCCAAGGTCCTACAGAAGTGTGTGTTTGCCTTGGTAAATCTGACTGAGGCGTGTCAGCAGTTGGCAGGTGAGCCAGTGAGTGCCAGCATTCAACACTGAACCACAGGGCCACCTCTAGCTTTGTCTGTGACAAAACTCTAGGCTTGTCCTAACTGTGTTCACATGCTTAAACCTTGAAAACAGGAGGATAGAGTAAGCACAGCATATTTTCTCAAGATCAGTACATACCATTTATTGAGAAAATTGCACTCTAACGAAGAGTCATTTGTTGTAAATCATAACACCATGCACAGTTCTTTGTCTTCTTCTTCTTCCCTCTTTTTGGGTGGGACTTGACAAGGTACAGGAAAGGCAATAGAGATGGCTTGAGGTTCGGTGCCACAGAAGAGCAAATTGACAGCATTGGCAGAATGAACAGATGCACATGAAAAGCACTGTTCAGCCGTATGTTGCAAATCTTCTTGTTTCAGATTCCATGCATTTGCAGAGAGAACACAGTGTATGGAATTCCCTGCATTCCCCGGGAAGGATGGTGACAGTGCCATTACTTGGAATTCAAGGAAACTAAAAGGAAAACTCCCTCCAGGTACCTGCGATAAAAAAGAGAGGGTGTAGTTTATCATAACTTCACATCACTTGTATCTTTAGGAAACAAAGCATGAGGTAGGGACTAATCATATCTTTTATATTATTTATGGGTGCAAGAGCAGAGTTTATGCATGTTTGTGGTACATTTGTCAGTGAAGCAACTGAGCATGAAACTTACTCCCAGGAAAGTAGCTTAAATGATATGTTTATTAACTTGTGAATCTTCTGAAGTGTGCCCCCGGCGTGTCAGTCCTGGACTTAGTTCTTGGCAAGGAGAAGATGGCTGTACAGGTTAGCTGGTTATTGAGCCCTGCTGTCTTCACGGGCTCTCACTGGCACAGAGTAGGAGGATACTGTGGTCAAGGAGAGATAAAGGCAGGCATTTGAGTCATAAAGACCCTGCCCCACATTTTGTGAATTCAGACTCTTACTTTCCCAAAGTGGAGCAGGGAGAGATTCCAGTAGAGCTCATAGGGGCACTGCTTTAGGTAACTGACACCTTTGTTCTGATGGTGGAGTAGACATCTCCAGAGAATTTGAGAAAATGTCAGTTGATCAGCAAGGTTGATGCTAATCTGAGAAGGAAATTAATGCGAATGTATGCCATGCTTATAGAGAGTGATTTACATGAGGAAGCCTAGTGGGCAAAGTATCAACCAGGATACAGAATGTGAGATGTCACCAGCTCCTGGGTGTGCCAGTTACTATATGTGGGGTTTAATTTTGGTTTAAGTGTTCCTTGGCAACTTGGTTATAAAGGGAAACATATCTGGCTGCCCAGCTTACAATTTGAGCAACTACCATATTTCCATTTCTGTGAAGCATACAAATTAAATTACAGACAAGAACATTTTTCTTAGACTGAAATGCTGAGTGTAACCTGCTAATCTAGTGCCATGTTACTGGTCACATGTTCTGAACTTGGAGAGAGAGTCCAATCCCAAATATGAGATCTTGCCTCCTCCTTCTATTGTGGTATACCAGAAATTCCTGAGCCCAACCCTCCCACTCCAAAACTGCTCAGAAATCCTTGACAGACTGTTTTGGCTTGGAAATGTGTGGTTTCCAACTTCACCTGGGCCCCAGAGGCATTTCTCTTCATTACCCCATAATCTCTTTCAAGCATTTATCAGTATCAGTTTCCTCAGGCAACTCTCTGGTTTGGCTAATGTCTCTGAGACATTAGCCTGTCTGCAGCCATGTGGAGAGAAACTGTGAAGTAAGGGGTTGGAGGAATCTTGTTCAGAGAATGCACCTGGCTCTTGCAGTACATTTCCTGCCATTGTGGACTTTTTGGATTTCAAATTGACTTTAGAGTATGACTTAGCCCATGCATTAAACCCACTCAGAGCCAACCAAAAAATCCTCTGTTGTCAAGGTAAGTAATACTTTTTAAGTTGCAATAAAATAAATATAACTGAAAATTTTCCATCTTACCTGTTAGGTACATCCACAATGTTGTGAACTGGTCTCCAGAACTCCCACATCTAGTGAACCATCTGGGATTCCAGATGGTTACACAACAGATCTCCATTTCCCAGCCTCACACCCTGGTGCCTGCCGTCTTACTTTCTGTCCCCAACTTTTGACCACTTTACATACCTCATGTAAATGAAATCATACAGTACTTGGCATCTTGTGACTGTTGACTTCCCTTAGCATTCTATCCACAGGTTCGCCTGTTCGGTTGCATGTGCCTGACTTTCTTTCCTTTCTGAGGCACAGTATATTCTATTATGTGTATACACCTTATTTTGTTGATTCGTGTATCCACTACCTATTAGTGGAGACTAGAGTTGCTCTGTCTTTCGGTTGCTGTAAATAGTACTGCAGTAGATATAGGTGTATGGATAGTTCTTTGAGACCTTGCTTTCAATTCTTTTGTCTGTACACATAGAAGTGGAATTTAGGAACCACATAGGGAACTCTGTTCTCAGATTTTGAAGATTCTCTGTATTGTCTTCCACACTGGCTCCACCATCTTACATTCTCACCAAGAGTCCACACTTGTATTTTCTGGGTTTTCTTTCTGATAGTTGCCATTCTAATGGGTGTGAGGTGCTAGCCCATTGTGATTTGATTTGCATTTCTCTACTGATTGGTAATAGTGATTATCTTCTCATGTGCTTGTTCAGGTAAATTATATTGTAATACAATATTTAAAAAGTCAATATTAATGCAAAATATCCATAATGTTCAAAATGTCACATTTTGAATCAACAACAATGTATGTCCATCATATTGGATACTCAAGATAAAAGGAAAATGTACAATTGTATATTACATATAAGAATGATTTTTAATGACTAGTTTCACAGTTAATACAGCACTTGAAAAATGTTGAAATATTGAAGCATATAAAAATTACACTCTTTTAAATTTAAATACTTTGGAGTATATTCATACTTCTTGCCAAAGTTTTATATTCATCAAACATAAATTCCAACTTTCTTTCTCTTATTTGTTGGAACTTGCAGCTTTTCACTGAAAATAAGATAAGAAGTAGATTTGGAAAATCTAAATCAGGAAAGCAAAATTTTATAACAATTTTTGTTTGCCTATAAATAAAACATTTATACTTGAAATAATATGAACTTTGATATACATTCTTTTTTGACACACACTTACTTTAAAATTTTTCAACTAATGTAATGTTCTGGAAAAAGTTAACCATTAAAATACATAAAAATATTTATGTAGGGGAAGCCATTTTTCCTCTTTGTCATGACATTCTCCCACAAGCTACTGCTCACTTGGCTCTTCTTACTTTCCAACCTTGTGTCCATCACCATTACAGGCTCTCTACCTTCTAGTCTTCTCTCAGTGTTTGCTGGTTCTTGTGGGCAACATGCATTCTCTCACTTCTGCTCTTAAAAATGCCTCTCACACTCCTTTTGGTTTCTCTGTCTTCTCTGCGTGTACATTACCATTCAGAGAAGTCTTCCTAACCCTCTTCTCCCTCTCTCAGATGGCTTTTCTGCTGTCGAAGATGAACCACTAACAGATAACATCTTTTACTGGTAGTTTGAGAAGTACCTAGAAACCAGAGCAGGCAAGAATCTCTCACAAACTCTGATAATGCAAGTCATTCCTTAAAAATTTTATCATCTTACTTTTTTTCATACCTCACCCTTATTTTCCCACACTGAGAGAAAATGTGAGGGCAACTTGTGTTTATTCCCAGGTTATGGGCAGCCTCTGAACTCACCCAGGAGGCATAGAATAATGACACATGGAGAAAGAAGAGAGGGATAGATGTCTCATGGCACAATCTCAGTCATCCACATCTCCCGAAACAAATTCCTGTTTCTAGAAAGAAACAAGAGGATGGGACTAGGTCACCAACCTGCATTGGGCTCCCAGGAGTTGGATGCATGAACCCCAGTGCTTTCACTTCTGGTGATGACTTCCTTGGTGATGACTTAGAGACACCTCCCTTCCCCCCAGTACCAGCTCCTCCCACCCAGGAATCCTCCATCAGCCTCTGATGGGTTTCCCTCTCAGAGGAGCAGGACCTTTGCTTTAGGTTTGGAAATGGGAGGTTGATCCTGGCAGATGTTGTGGACCTGAAGCCCCTCATCGTTATCTATCCCCTTGGTTTTCTGTTTAGAGTCAGCTGGGTCCCTGCTGAGCTTATATTTGAGAGGCGTAGAGCAGTGCACTAAGCACTGTCCTGTAGTCAGAGAACTCAACACGGTAAAATCAAGAGCCCAAGCTTTGTAGTCAGATCTCAGTTGGATTTATCACTTGGCTGTGTGATCTTGGTTAAGGTACTTAGCTAGTCTGAACCTTACTGACTCCTACGTAGGGTAGTGATGTTTACCTTATGGATTGTTAGTAATACATATGAATGTATATAAACACACACACTTAACACATACACACAATATTTTATACAGTATCTAGGTATCAGATGGTGCTGACTCTGGTGGTTGAAAAGACCATATATATATACTCTTATATATATATATATATACATATATATATATATATATATATATATATTCTTTCTAGCTCCTCTTTTCTGTTTCTCATTGTGCCTTCTGAAACTTCTCACCATTTCTTTTCCAGACAGAACACAGCACTGTGTCTCCTCTCCAGTCCTAATGGCATATATCTTGTTCATGGGGGTTGTTGAGCTTCTTGGACCTGTTGATTGATAGTTTTTACCAATTTGGATAAAGTTCAGTCACTATTTCTTGACCACAGGTTCACATGTCAGCTGCTGTTTGATTAATTTCTGACATACTTATCTTATAACCAGTGCTATCCAGAGTTTATTTTTATTGTGGCAAATAACAGCACAGCAGCCATGCCAACCCAAGCAGCACTGCTTAAGGCCCCGTTCAGGTCACATCTACTGACTTTCCTTTGGCGGAAGCAAACAACACAGCCAAGTCCAGTGTGGATGGAATGGTTGGTTTACTCTCCCCACGTTGAGATGGAGAGAGAAGTACATATTTGCTGATGAATAATGCAAGTTATAACAATCCTTTGATCTTACTTTTTGTATGATTCGCTCTTGGATAATGTTTGCTGATAAGTGAATCAACTTTAGAGTCAGACCTGCATTGAAACCCTAGTTTTACCACCAACTACTTGTGACCTTAGGCAAGTCACCCAACTTTTTTATGTTTTGTTTGGTTGTTGGAAGAATTAAAGCATAGACACCTATGGAAATGTTAAATGCAAAATTGGCATTTAATAAATGTTTGTTTTCTTTTGGTATTCCAAGTGGGCTTCTATTATAGCCATTGGTTCTAGAAGTAAAATAATAAAAAGGACATGACATTTCTGTCATAAAGAACAGTTTTAGAATAGTCATGATACTAACCAACATGTTTGATGCATAATGGTGGGTGAGAATTGGAATATGGAATCAAGAAGTACATGTTGAACTGTGAAACTGTGTCTGGATGAGGGGAAGGCCATTTTCAAGGTTGCTGCCGGTGCTAGGCCTCCTTTTCTAGAGGAAATCAGGGGTACCTGTTTTCTACC